TTTCAAGATCAATAAATAATCGACGCTTAACTGGAAATTATAAAAATTTACATAAAAATAATTAGGTACTAAGATCCGCTTTTAACAAATATGATCCTTCTCACTTATTTATGTTGAATCTATTTGTCGATCTATTTTCACTTAATATTCTATAATTCTTATATTTATGAGATTCTATTAGTATAATAAAATAAATGCGAACACAGTTTAGAGACATGCGACATGCAAATGCATTTTATCTATGTTTGTCACACGATCAGACTTTTATATCATAATTATTGAATTTTGGTTTCCGTTGTTAATTAAATTCCGTTATATTTAATGAATATATTTATAAATATAATATTTTTTTTCAGTTTTTTCTCTGAATTTTTATAAAATATTTATCATTATATCGACTGTGTTATGTTTGTGCCTCTTACGTTTATTATACTCGCCAATTACATCTGCATTACGAGTCGGTCGACGATCAATTCATCTGAAAATAATGCAATAGGGGATCATAATCGATCACATCCGTGATCTTTAAACACATTTCTGAAGATAAATGTTAAATAACAATATATGTGCCATTGATAATATAATACGATAATATATGCGTGATATATAACAGTGGATGGATATACTTATTAACTTATGATGTTATATTCTACGACCTATGAGATTAAGAAATAATCAGGACAGAAATAATACAAAAATCCGTTTGTATAATAACGAACGAATCGATTTGTGTATAACCAATATTAATCATTAATCGAAGTTCAAAAAAAAAGGTCTCCATTTTCATGTAGAATTTTAAGGGAAGTTGACATATAAGACAATATTTTGTGTAATGGAGATTGACGGGCTTTCCGAATCGTTTCTCTGCAAAGTATTAAGCTCTGGAACCTTCAATACTTCTTATCGATACATTCATTCTATTAAACTTGTATCTCTCATATGATTTGTCCAATTTTTTCACCTCCAGATAATTTTATCCAAGAGATATCTCCCAGAATATAATGGAGATATCTCCTTGATAAGATTATCCGCAATTTTCTGGAAGTGAAGAAATTGGGCATTAAACTATTTTAATTCATACACTTAAAAAAATATCTATATATATATTTATAATCTAAGAAATAAATTCATAGAATTTCACTACATTCACTACATTCATATGTCATCAAAATTTAATATAGAATTCTCTTTTTTTATTTTAATGTATAAGAAATTTATAAAAATAGATGTAGATGTAATGGAATAAAAAACACTCTTAAATATCATTAATATCGAACATTCTTTTCGTAATTCGTGTATGTACATAATTTCCATCATATTCTTAAAAGAAGATCTGCATCAGAACATCCAAAAAATATTTTAAACTTAAAAGACATTCTAACAAGTGTTTTTAATCTTTATATTGTTTTCTGTAGAGAAAATTCTAGCTAATATCTGCTGTTGCGTCAAGGGACTTTATTTGCTTTCTCGAACTACAAGACTTTGCTACTATAGTAGCTACGTCAGTAATAGAATATCGATAACAAATATTGATTGTTTTAGAACGTTGATAAAAATGACGCTTCTTGTTCCGCAAATGCAATAGACGAACGTGACACGACGCGAAATCGGGATAAGCGGCAATGGTCGATGGGCGAGATGTCTTCGTTGAGCGAATACGCGTCTCGATATTTCGCGCCTTGTCTGTGTTGAGTTTTATTATAATAGAGAGCAGAGCGAGATGATCTATGTAATACGTTTCCGACAACTTGGGCACCAGGCTCGGTCAGCAAATTAACTCCGTTTAACTAAATCTTCTGCCGTTATAGTCGGATCCCGTTATAGTTGTGCACATTATAGTTGTGACTGTATAATCTAAAACAAAAGATCAGTAAATTGTTAACCGGAGTTAATTAACACGGACCGTTGACCCTTTCGAGTTAAAAGTTCTGCGCGTACCATGGAGAAAATTCGCGAATAAAAAAAAAAGATTACACGTGTCTGACTAGGAAGAGGTAACGCAACGATAAATTACGATAATAAGTCACGACTAATTAAACGGAGCAAAAATTTTTGTAAATTATTTTCAAAGTATACATAGATGCTACATAACACGCCCATATTCACATTGACTTTGAGTCAATTGAGAAATTAAAGAATATACCGTATATCATATATGTATATAGATAATTAATTCTTGAATGTAATCAAAAACATCATTGAGATGAAGAGAAAAGGAATTTGATTCACTGGTACACGCTGAAAGAATATATACAAAATATCGTAATTCATACGAGATAAACATTCGACAAAAAATCGTACAGCAATTAATATATAAGATAACGACATTAAGTATAGCGATTATAAATTTTAATGTGGTCTTCAAGAGCATTATTCGCAATGTACATAAATTATTATTACACACACATATATATATGTATATAATATAT